TTTACCCCTTTGAACTAACTGTATTGTGGAGGTAGAGAGGGGTTAGCCCTAGTATCTGTTATCTAGTTATATTAGAAAGAAAGCATTGTGTTTTTTTTCTAATCTAAGTTGTTTTTAGGTTGCTGGAATCCTTAAATGCAAAAACTATTGGCTTAACATTTTTTTATAGTTATTCTGACACTCGTGCATGAACAAAATAGTGCATAACCCTTTATGTTATATTTAAACATTGTTTACTACTATCTTCTTGTGCTCCATTTGCTTGATGGATTCACGAGGTTAGAAAAGAAAACTTGGATTTGATTAATGTTCTATAATTGGATTGCCAATTATAAGGTCTCTATGTTGTTTACCAGCAAACGTGGGGCGTCCAGGAAAGTTGGCCAGTCTCTTGTTGCATTTCTTACAAGTCTCCCTTGGCATTGGTTTTTTCATTGCCTCTTGCTAAGAAACGACTATTAGTGTTTTTCTTGCTTCAGAAGTTCTTCTGAGCTTACCATTTGTTAGTTCTTCACCAGTGTATATGTATGCCTTTCATGCAAATTCTCATGGGGTCGGTGCAATTTCCATAATTATTTTACGAGCCTGCAGCTCATTCAGTTGACAATTGGATTAGTTATTGGATGACAAAAGTTGGTGCTTGAACCAGACATGGCAGAAGGAGCGGAAGTTGAGGAGCGGGTGGATCTTGACGAAGACAACTACATGGAAGAGATGGATGATGATGTAGAAGAGCAAATAGATGAAGATGGAGTAGATGGAGTAGATGGAGGCAGTGATGAAAATGTGGAGGAGAATGCTGAAGAAGCACATGAAGATCCTACAACTAAGGCTAGCGAGAAAGATCAATCACCAGAACCAGATGAAAGCCATAATGCTGGTGAATTTGTGGACGATGAAGAGAAACCTTCTGCTTCTGTCAATGAAGAGGAGAAAGAGAAACATGCTCAACTTCTTGCCCTTCCTCCCTATGGGTCTGAAGTTTTCATTGGTGGACTTCCTAAAGACACCTTGGAAGAAGATCTGAGGGATCTATGCGATGAAATAGGCGAAATTATTGAGGTCAGAACTGCAACCTCTTGTGCTTCTGACATTTTGGCCTTCTGTTTGGGGCCGTCTGGAGTGGTAGTTTGATTTTCTGTGAGGGTTTGATTCATAGATTATTTTGCAGATAAGATTAATGCAAGACAGAGAAACTGGTGAAAGCAAGGGTTATGCATTTATAGGATTTAAGACTAAAGAGGTTGCACAAAAAGCCATTGAAGAATTACATAATAAGGCATTCAAGGTAGTGATGTTTCTCTTTTGCAGTGCTGTGTAGTATTGCCTTCGTTCCTTTTTAAAATATGTCCAGCCTGATTGTGATCTATAATGTGTTTCACCTCTGCAGGGTAAAACCTTAAGATGTTCACTTTCTGAAACAAAGCATAGATTGTTCATTGGTAATGTTCCAAAAATCTGGACTGAGGATGAGTTTCGAAAAGTCATTGAGGAGGTTGGTCCTGGGGTTGAGCACATTGAGCTAATAAAGGTTAGATTTTTAATCTCTTCTTTTGTTATGTTAATTTGGAGGTCAATAGCAACTTGGATAAATGTTCTTACGGAATTATCTTTTGTTAATTGCAGGATCCCCAAAATCCAAGCAGAAATCGCGGTTTTGCTTTTGTTCTGTATTATAATAATGCCTGTGCTGATTATTCAAGACAGAAAATGTCAAATTCAAATTTTAGGCTGGATGGAAATACACCAACTGTGACCTGGGCTGATCCAAAAAGTACTTCAGATCATT